GTTGAAATTTAAAAGATTTGGATATTTAAAATTGCCTGTTTTTCTTCCCCAGGTCATTAGAATCATCTGTTCACCTCAAGGGGAATAATTAACTTTTCAATCATCACATTGCTTGTAATTGTAACACTCATATATGGAATATAATTTCTGTCATTAGGGAAATAAAAGATTTGGTTTTATTAGTGTAATAACAGTTCACTAAGTTGCAATGCAGTGGGGAAGAATAATTTATAATTATGGATATTATAAATGTTTTAATATCATTAAGTAATTACATTTTACTACTTTCCAGGAGCATGAATTATTTGGAAAATTATTGAGATTGGAATTGTGGATTTGACATCAACTTGGTTATGAATTTGTCTCAGGACTATGGTGGCTAAGCCTCATGACCTCACAATGTCATTCTTTCCATCTGCATCACAGATCTAATGACAGCTCTCTTGTTGCCACTTCATGTCAGCATGTACTTTGCTGATCCTAGCAGACTTGTTGAGACACTGGATTTGTCCACTGGACTGAAAACTCCCTGCAGGCAGGGCCATTTCTTGCTCACTTTTATATCTCTAAGTGCTTATTATAGAGTACTCAATAAACATGCCATGAATGAATTAATAAACATAGAGAATGCCTTATTCCTATAGAGAATAAGATGACAAATGTGCATTTTTAAATACCAACTATAAAAGTCCTATAAATGAAAAGTGTTAATAGTATTCTTAAATCTGTATTGTAATTCCAAACGTTAGAAAAGTCCTTCTGTATTTCAGCAACCAGATAGAAGCTATTTGAAACAGCAGTATCCTTCTGTCAAACTCGAAGGGGCTAGCAACCCCTTCCCCTTCCATGTCTCAAACATTACCAAGCAAAATGCATCACTCTGTTAGATTAGGGTATGTTTGGCACACTTAACTAGAAAAATCAAACTCTAATTCTAATTCTGCCATTGTTTGTCTTAGTTTTAATTCTAGATCTGGCTGTGACCCTACAGGATTTGAAAAGGAGCAATGAGTGTTTGAAGGAGTGGGCAAGATTGTAACCTGCAAGGAGGCACCCTCGAGCTGTTTAGGAAGTTTTTCTACAGAGGTACTTCGATGAATTTGTCCTACAGGGGTGTTCTGTGAGGGGAGGGGGAGGCCAGGCAGACAACTCTTCCCCTCCCCCCAACAAATTCACAAGGAGCAGCTTTACCTGTGTATATTTGCTAAGCATTTCCAATGAATATTTTATTTGAGAGAAGAAATCTGCAGCTAAAAATAAAGCTTGAAAACACTGTCCTAGTTAAACCCAAAGAGGTATGGAGGCAAGAGGTTTCCACTTAGTGATTATTTATTGTGGGCTGGATCATTTTAAGACATTATAATATAATTTCATTGAACCCACACCACATCCTTATATGATAGAGAACAAGCACCCCACTTTAGAGAACAGAAAACTCAGACTCAGAGAAGGGAAATCTCATAACCAACAAGGGCCGAGAACCCTGATGTGATTCCAAAGCCAAAAATGTTCTAGAACCTTCTATCTCTAGAAGTCTCTGTGACTCTTCAACCTTCTCTTCCTGAGCCGTGCCCTTCCCTTACATTTTAAGCTTCTCATTCATTGAGCATCATAAATTTATTAAACTCATTACCATTCAGTGCAAATTAATCTTCATCAACTCTTTACTTCATAATGATACCCATTGATTAAAGAGTCATTTCTTGCACATCTACTAGATGCTGGGTACTGAACGAGGTCCCAGGGATATAGACCATCAGGATGTGCCTCTAACAACAGGGGAACCACAGACTAGTGGGAAGAAATATGGAAACCAATAAATGGAAATATTAAAAATGGCACCATAGCTATCTTTACTGGATGCTCGGGAAAGGGCCATAAGGAGAGGGAAAGGGGATGATAATACCTGTCTTCTTTACTGTTAGTATTTAATGATACCTATTTTTGACATATTTTATGGAATAGAACCCATTGTCTCCAGCATGATTCATGCCTCTGGGAGAAAAGGGCTCAGATACCAAAATGTATCCTCCTCATGCCATTTCCTCTTCCATCCTTAGTGGAGACAGTACTAGTCCAGGAAGTAAGATAAACCAAAACTCTTCAGATTTTGTTTCACTGTTCCTTAAGAATAATTTGACTTGAAATACATCTAGGCATTCAAAACTTGAATCATAAAAGTAATTCTATACCTTGCCATCTCTTTTAGATAGTTCTGTCCCAGCTAGTCAAGGAAAGATAATGTGCTACTACAGTTTCTTACTTACCCCAAACCCTCTTGTGTTTCTAGTTGAAATGAAAAGTGAACTTTATACTTACCTTGCTCTGATTCTCTAATTCAATAATAATGATCCAATTCCTGTCTCTAGTGACAGTGGTCAAACAGGTTGATATCCAAGTATCAAGAAAAAAATCCCTGTTCTCATCCCTCTGGATAATCTCAAACCAGTTTTTTTTTTCTTTCTTCTCCTTATTTTAGTTTTCTTTTCTCTTTCTTTCTTTCTTTCTTTCTTTCTTTCTTTCTTTCTTTCTTTCTTTCTTTTTCTTTCTTTCTTTCATCTCTCTCTCTCTCTTTCTTTCTTTCTTTCTGCAATCCAACTATTTCTGTCCCAAATTCTTGCTTTTCAGAATACAACCAGTGAAAACAACTGTCATGGTAATAAGCCACTGATGAGAGCAAAATGCATACCATAGAGCAAAAATCAGCAATGAAGTCAAACAGAATATGACACACAAAATTGCACACATTCCCCCATGTTGTCAAAATGCACAAATTACCCTAGTAATTTAGACTAGATCTAGAAACTTATCTGAAGAACATAGCTGAAATGAAGAAAACAGTATGAAAATGCTTTCTTGCAACATGATATATGATAATAGAAAATTGGGACGGGGACGGAGGTGAGGCTGAGTAAATTATAGGCCATTAAAAATGACCACTATGAGCCAGGCTCGGTGGCTCAGCCTGTAATCTCGCGCCTTTGGGAGGCTGAGGTGAGTGGATTCCCTGAGCCCGCGGGTTCGAGACCCGCCTGGGCAGCAAGATCTCATCTCTCCAATAAATCAAAAAATCAGCCGGGTGTGGTAGCGCACGCCCATAATTCCGGCTACTCGGAAGACTGAGGCGGAAGGATCGCCGGAGCCCAGCAGGTCGAGGCTGCGGTGGCCGGAAGCGGCCTCTGCACTCCAGTCTGGGCGATCGAGTGAGACACCAACTCAAAAAAAAAAAAAAAAATGATCACTATGAAGCCTGAGTAACAGCATAAAAATGTTACCTATGTCTTTAAGTTAAAAATAATGTAATTAAATATGTAATATGGTTGCAATATGGAAAAAATATATTTGCATAAGGACTGTGGACTCATGGATAATATTTTAAAGTGTTGCTAGATGTTATAATATTGTCTTTACAATGAAAACAAATTCAGAGGAAAATAGATGATGAATCACTACCTGACAATTGTCACTGCATAAGAAAGTCCCCTTTGCAGGGACAATGACAGGTGGTTAAATGTGAGCATAGATGCCACACTCACCTCTTTTATCCCAGTTGATTTATTAATTTTGAGTTTTCCAAAAATTAAAATTAATCTAGTCATCAAATTAAAGTCTGCCAACAGGTATTAGTAAATATTGAAAGATGTCAAGAAATGAATTTGAGAGTGTAGCATGGGTGGGGGGCAGTCTTTTGGCAGGAGGGTCTTAGCTGACAAGGACTGTGGTCCAAGTCCTGACATTCAAGTGTAGGGCCTTTATGATCTTAGGTTCTCTGTGTAGGCAGAAATTAGAGGAACTATAAATTTCCAATTTAAATTCAGAAAGCATTCAAGGTCCTGTGACCCTGCTGCACCCACTCTCCACAAGCCCCCAGTGTACTGTCCACTTGGTTAGAGCCCCATGAAAACCCCCATAGTGCACCCCTGCATCTGTCTCTACAACCAGTTCTGAGTTGAGATTGACAGTTTTCTTATATCTATTTTTTGTTTATTGTCACATAAAGCACATAACATAAAATATACCATTTTAACCAATTTTTAGTGTACAGCTCTGTGGCATTAAGTACATTCACACTGATTTGCAACCATCAACACCATCCATCTCCAGAACTTCTTGTCATCTCATTATGTACCTCTGTACCCAATAAACATTGACTCCCTACTTTTCCTTCCCCCTAACCCTTAGCAACACCTTTCTACCTTCTGTCTCTATGAATCTGATTATTCTAGGTCCTCACGTAAGTGGAACCATACAATATTTGTTCTTTGGTGATTGGCATATTTCACTTAGCACATGTCCTCAAGGTTCATCCATGTTGTAGCATGTATCAGAATTTCCTTCCTCTTTAAGACTGAATAATTTAGTCCTATGTATGCATACACCATATGAGGCTGAAATCCTCTCTTGGAATTACCACCAGGTCACACTTGTCATTGACCCAGCCCTGATCCCAATCCCAATTTTGAGAAATGGACCCCCTCTCCTTCTCAGGCCTCACACTGCATCATCCTTTACTTCTGTTTTTTTAGTAGACCTTCATTTGAGACCCTGCCTGGGTTTTCAGTCCTTCTTCCCAGAATCTGGATAATTAACGTGCTCTACCCAGGACCATGTGCTCACTGCTTGTTCAAAGGTCCTACCTTGCGCCATGTTCTGCCCACCAGTCAGCTCACCGATATCTTGCCTTGGAGCCAAGATGGCAGCCACCTGCTTAAACTGCATGGATTTGACCACACCTTTGTCAACTTCACTTTACCTGCCAGGCAGGTTCTTCTCTCCCTCTCTGTATGGACTGTGGTGGTGGAGGTGTTCTAAGAGATGCACCTTTCCAAGAGAATCTGTGTCAAGAGCAAGCCCAGCACCCTGCCCACAGTCCTATTTTCTCCCCTTCTATTGCCCATTATCAGATACCTCTCTGCAAATTTCTAGTATCTGTCCAGACTTTCTTGGATCACTAGAACCAAGACACAGGGTCCAGACAGCACAGGTCCAGGGATACTTACAGCCAGAGCGAGTTCCTTCCTTGAGTGATGACACCTGTGAATTTGGCACGTGCTGAGTGTCCACTTCGATTCACTGGTGGAGATCACTCCTTCCCGCACACCATGCTCCATCATAAAAATCATTAATACCTGCCTGGAAAGAGAAAAAGGTATGTCCTTCAAAAATCTCTGAACTGAAGAAAATTAATGTACATCTTTTCCTGAGACTGAGAGGAAGGGAGGTGGGGATAGGAGAAGAAAACAAGAAAGGTGATAAAGAAAAAAATAATTGCACCCTGAACTCCTTATTCTAAATCATAAAAGGGAGTTACTTAGTATTATAAGTTAGAAACATTTCAATATGATAATTCCTCTTTCTTCCCGGTGTGAAAGATGAAGTTTAATGAGTTCTATTACTCATTCATCTAGTGCACATAAACCATCTCCCACATACCAGCCTACACATGCCAGGTGCTGGGGATACAAAGGTGAGTGGTTCTCTCCCAGAAACTCACTATCCGGGCAGAAAGAAGACATGAAAATAGATAAATTAGAAAACAGGGGGGCATGTCTGTTTTAGGGAATATAAACAAACCGCTGTAGGACCATTTAAGGACAGCACAACTAACTTATTCTGGGACAGAAAGCCCAAAGACCAGGAGATATTTGTGTTGATGGTTGAAGGGTCAGTTTGTCTAATAAGTGTTTGTTTATTAGTGTTTAAGTCATTGATGTGTTCAGTATCAACTACTATTACTAAAAAAAATTATTCTATTTTTGTAGAGATGGGGGTCTTGCTCTGTTGCCCAGGTTGGCCTCAGACTCCTAGGCTCCAGTGATCCCCAGCCTCAGCCTCTGAAGTAACTGGGATTACAGATGGGCACCATCATATTCAGCACCCAAATTCTTTTGATCTGAATTTCCAAGGTAGGTAACGTTTCTGCTCTAGAATTTTCCCAATATTATCACCATTGGAAAAGCTAATTCTCTGATGTCTCCCTGTCATAAATGGACATTTGAACTAGGTGAAGCAACCTGGCTTACTAAGACCTTTTCTGAATTAACCTTTTTTTCCCCATGGCTATTTCACAAGGATATAATCAGAGGAGGAAAAAGTCTGAATGTTAAAATTGATAAGCCCATCCATCTTACCTATCTCTGAGCACGTTTCAGCTAAAAATCTGGGGACAGCCTTACTTTTAATGGGCAATTGAAACAGGAACATTGAGAGTCCAGCTATAAAAGATGAACAACTTGGCCAAGGGATCCAACAGCAAAACTCTACCCATCACTGTACCAGCTAACATTGATACAAGACCAAACTACAATGTGTGCCTTCCCAATCCACTCCTGAAACAAACTAAAGGAACTTGGAGAGCAAATTTCAGAGTACTAACTTATCATGGTCTTCTAAAAGAACTACCGTCACAGATGAAGATGAATTAAAGCCATCTGTCAACACCCTCCAGAAACTCTTGGTTAGCCAACGCATCAGTGTCTGGACCCGGAAATGCTGCAAGGTCTCACCTTCTAACATCCTCAAGAAAGGTCACATTTTTCAAGTGTGTGTCACCAGTACTTCAAGTGTTTTGTCACAGTCTAATAATTCTAAAGAAGTGATGGTGCCTCTCTGTCAAGCAAGCCATCTCAGTTCCCAACTCTGCCAGCCAAGCAGGTCACGAGAGCGGTGTGAAGGTCATAATGATATAACCACTGCCTTTTTGTTGTAGTTGTGGGCAGTTCTCCTCCTCATAGCAGAGACTGGCAACACATTCGTGATCTGCAATATCACCATGCGTCTTCTTTCAAGAAACCCTAAGATATATAAGATGCACTTCATTTTTTTGTTGGGGTTCCGTTTTGTAAGCAGCCATGAGACTGGTGTTTAGAACAATTCCACTCATTTAGTACAATGAGCCTTCACTGTGCCTCCACTATAAATCAAGAACTGGCCTAGACAAGAAGAAGTATAACCATGGGGAACATGTAGCCTTGTCTTCTTTGAGTCTACAATGGATAGGACTGAAGCTGCCACACAGTTGATCTTAAAGACAACCCCACACTGTGTGTTGGAGAGACATGTGTGCTCTGACATCTTACCACCAGGGTGAGACATCACGGCCAGTTACACTCTGCAAACTCAGGCAATTTGCCTAAATGCTCTGCACCTTAGTTTCTCCATCTGCTAAAGTGAGGCAATGACACTTTCTCCCTCCGAGTATTCACAGTGCTCGTGACAGAGTCTGGCACACAACGCACGTGTGCTCAAGAAACTAGCATGCCATAAATGTTAGTTATCAGAATATTTAAAACAATGAGTATATGGTTATCACTGTTAAAGTATGAAAGCATGGATGGTTTAGGAATTATTTCAAGCTTTACAAAATGTTAGAGAGACATGATACTATTTCATTTCATTGCTGTCACATTTTCTATACCTTCAAACATCCAGGAGAAAGTTATAAAATCTGAAGAAAGAGGAGACGCATAATCTAAAGTTCTTAGCAGGAACTAAGAACTTAAGTCTTAGTTGCTCCTCCAGGGGACATTTGTCAATGTCACAACCAATGTTTTGGCTATCATAATAGGGCGGGAGGGGGCATGCTAATGGAACCTAATGGGTAGAGGCCAGAGATCCTACTCTGTGGGGTCAGAGGTCAAGATGGCCCCACAACAAAGAGTTGCCTGACCCTAGCCTAAGGCTAAGCAGTAGGAATAGAGCTGCCACATAGCCAGAGAAGTCTGCCCTGTAGAATCATGGAAACTAGAAGGAACTATATTCATGCTGTTCCACCAAAGTCTACTGACTAGGATTTGGAATTCAATATAAGGCTCCTGATTTTGCCAGCCTGGATATTTTCTTTCTGCTGCCAATCTCAGTTCTTTCTGAGCACACTAGACAGTCAATTAAATAGAGTGCAGTGTCAGGGGAATGGAGAGCCCTTCCTGAAGATGACTCATTGGGAAATGATAGCCATCTCTGAAAAATCAATTATGAATTTTAAAACCAGGTGCCTGGGATAATTCAGTGAAAGAGGAGGCACCAGCCCCAGAGATGTCACCAGATTACACCACAGTGCAATAAATGATATTTGTGTGATGCTTATGAGAAACCAAGAAAAGAGTGCATTCATCTCTTTCTGTTTAATAATGTAGGGAAATAGTTGACAAATTCTGGAGAAATTTCAGTTAAAAACTGGTTAAATAAAAGGTTTGATTCCAATAAAATAAAATAAATATAAGATTTGATTCCGTAAAGTCTAAGCTAGTCTTGAAAACACCACTAACATGGAATAACTCTATTATAGTATCAAATAAGTTGAGAATCAATGTAATTTTCTCATCAGTTAAATTAGATGCATCATTATTTTACTTTAAACACACACACACAGACACACACACACACACACACACACACACACACACACAAACGCACACCAATGCACCTAACAGACTCAATTTTGTTTAAGATAAATGTGGAACTTATACTGTCTGAGATCAATCTAATAAGATTTTTCTATTTCAAGATGATAAAATAAAGACATTAGTTTTTCTGCATTCCTCTCAAAAATCACCCCCAAATAAAGAAAACAAGAGACAGAAATACAACTTTGATCTATGGTAAAACTCAAAGGCATTTATAAGTACCAAATTATAATATATAAAACAGAAATCAGATGGAGAAGTCCCAAATGACTCAGTAAGAGAAGAAACTGCAAACCTCAAAGCAGCATAGTGACATGCAAGCCACACAGAACTAAG